GCTTAAGACGCAGCGCGATGGGCGCGGCTTAAGACGCAGCGCGATGGGCGCGGCTTAAGACGCGGCTTTAGAGACGTAGCGTAAGACGCAACGTGACGGACGCGGCTTAAGACGCAGCGTGATGGGCGCGGCTTAAGACGCAGCGCGATGGGCGCGGCTTAAGACGCAGCGTTAGAGACGCAGCGTGACGGACGCGGCTTAAGACGCAGCATGACGGGCGCGGCATAAGACGCAGCGCGATGGGCGCGGCTTAAGACGCAGCGCGATGGGCGCGGCTTAAGACGCAGCGTTAGAGACGCAGCGTGACGGACGCGGCGTAAGACGCAACGTGACGGACGCGGCTTAAGACGCAGCGTGATGGGCGCGGCTTAAGACGCAGCGCGATGGGCGCGGCTTAAGACGCAGCGTGATGGGCGCGGCTTAAGACGCAGCGCGATGGGCGCGGCTTAAGACGCGGCTTTAGAGACGTAGCGTAAGGCGCAACGTGGCGGACGCGGCTTAAGACGCAGCGTGATGGGCGCGGCTTAAGACGCAGCGCGATGGGCGCGGCTTAAGACGCGGCTTTAGAGACGTAGCGTAAGACGCAACGTGACGGACGCGGCTTAAGACGCAGCGTGATGGGCGCGGCTTAAGACGCAGCGCGATGGGCGCGGCTTAAGACGCAGCGTTAGAGACGCAGCGTGACGGACGCGGCTTAAGACGCAGCGTGACGGGCGCGGCTTAAGACGCAGCGTGATGGGCGCGGCTTAAGACGCAGCGCGATGGGCGCGGCTTAAGACGCAGCGCGATGGGCGCGGCTTAAGACGCAGCGCGATGGGCGCGGCTTAAGACGCAGCGCGATGGGCGCGGCTTAAGACGCAGCGTGATGGGCGCGGCTTAAGACGCAGCGTTAGAGACGCAGCGTGACGGACGCGGCGTAAGACGCAGCGTGATGGGCGCGGCTTAAGACGCAGCGCGATGGGCGCGGCTTAAGACGCAGCGCGATGGGCGCGGCTTAAGACGCGGCTTAAGACGCAGCGTGATGGGCGCGGCTTAAGACGCAGCGCGATGGGCGCGGCTTAAGACGCGGCTTGAGACGCAGCGTTAGAGACGCAGCGTGACGGGCGCGGCGTAAGACGCAACGTGACGGACGCGGCGTAAGACGCAGCGTGATGGGCGCGGCTTAAGACGCAGCGCGATGGGCGCGGCTTAAGACGCAGCGCGATGGGCGCGGCTTAAGAGCAGCGCGATGGGCGCGGCTTAAGACGCGGCTTAAGACGCAGCGTTAGAGACGCAGCGTGACGGACGCGGCGTAGGACGCAACGTGACGGACGCGGCGTAAGACGCAGCGTAATGGGCGCGGCTTAAGACGCAGCGCGATGGGCGCGGCTTAAGACGCAGCTTGAGACGCAGCGTTAGAGACGCAGCGTGACGGGCGCGGCGTAAGACGCAACGTGACGGACGCGGCGTAAGACGCAGCGTGATGGGCGCGGCTTAAGACGCAGCGCGATGGGCGCGGCTTAAGACGCAGCGCGATGGGCGCGGCTTAAGACGCAGCGCGATGGGCGCGGCTTAAGACGCAGCGTTAGAGACGCAGCGTGACGGACGCGGCGTAAGACGCAACGTGACGGACGCGGCGTAAGACGCAGCGTGATGGGCGCGGCTTAAGACGCAGCGCGATGGGCGCGGCTTAAGACGCAGCGCGATGGGCGCGGCTTAAGACGCAGCGCGATGGGCGCGGCTTAAGACGCAGCGCGATGGGCGCGGCTTAAGACGCAGCGCGATGGGCGCGGCTTACGACGCAGCGCGATGGGCGCGGCTTAAGACGCAGCGTTAGAGGCGCGTTTGTGACGCACCTGCGTTTGTGACGCACCTGCGTTTGTGACGCACCTGCGTTCGTGGCGCGGCGTAGCTTTAGACGCAGCTCCAGTAAGCAGTAGCAAAAAGGCAGCAGGCTGAGGCAAGGTAATGCAGTTTTAGCGACAGTGAGGGTTAGAAATAGAGTATTAGTTTTGATGTAGTACAATCAAACATAGAGTTTGGCATAGTAGAGTGTTAGTTTCACCACTAGGTGGGAGTGCAGTATCTGTCAGATCACACGCCGATGTGGTTCAACAATAACGCGCATCATGCAGGAGCAGGAGTACAGAATAGGATTAGTTACCACAGCAATGTGTTATTATCAGTGGCAAGGAGGGGGCGGGGGTGTGTGGGAGTGCAGTGTTTGTTAAATCACCACACAGATGTGTTACTGTAAACTAGCAGTAGTGAGTGAGCAGGAATAAAGCATAGAATGCGTATCACCAGCGACATGCAGCAGAAGGAGAGCAGAGTTTACAGCATTAACCTTGGCTAATGCAGCAATGTAGCTTAACAATTATGTTTAAGAGGAGAAGCAGAAACAGAGCGTTAGCTTTTGTTATGTATAGCAGTAATGTGTTCTAATAAAACAATATGACATGCAGAAGGGGGCGGAATTAAAATTATTAGTTTTAGTTTAGTGCAAGGAGGGGCGGAATCAGCGTATTAGTTTAGTACAATCAAACATCAAGTTTGGCAAAGTAGAGATTTTAGTTGGAACAGAAACAGCAAGGGACAACAGCCAAAACAGTGTTAATGTTACAACCACAGCCAATCACTTGATCAGGAGACGTAGTGCAGGGTAAAAGTCAAGACAGCAGCAATGTGGTCCCGGAAGTAGTGCCGGGACCGGAAGGCAATTTTGTGTTTAGACAATAAGAGGTGCGGCCCGTTTAGCAGTATGCCGAGACGGCTGGCGCCTTATGATCGTCAGAACACAGAATCAGAGTGGGATATGATAGTACGAAGTATAGTAAGTAGTGTTATTGTTAGACAGCAGGTAGGCAGTGCAGCAGAATGGTATTAGCAGTGGGGATGCGGCTCTGGCTTTTAGCGCGCCAGGGCCGGAAGTTAGCCGTATGCTAAAACAAAGGAGCGTAGCTAGCATTTAGCTTGCCGGCAACGGTACATTGTAGCAGTAGTTTAGGCAATAAACAATGAGTTTTGGTGACCGAACGCAGTTCGGTTAAACAGAGTGGCACTAGTTTTAACGGTAGAGAAGCAGCGTATAGTGGGAGCAGTAGTAGGAGCAACGGCGTTGTCAGAGTTAGCTTTGAGGCTAGCGGGGCCCGGGCGGAAGTTTAGCCGTATGCTAAAAACAAAGGAGCGTAGCTAGCATTTAGCTTGCCGGCAACGGTACATTGTAGCAGCAGTTTATACACGAAAGTCTGGAGCGAGTTATACAGTTCGCACAAGCACGTATTTGCAGTGGTGGAATGGGGTTTGTATGTATGTACTGTAGGGTGCTGGTGTGTGTGTACAACAGCAGGTTAGCAGGCAGAGAGAGTGGTGAGACAGAGTTAGCGTTAGCCGCCTTTAGCAAAACGATAGCATCACATTCAAACAGCTGCCATTTACAGCCTTTTACACAGATATACTCGGTTAAAATCCTGTGTGACCTGGGTCACCAAGGGACACAGTAGATCCGTACACCCGTGTTCTGGACACGGTGTACAGTGGAGTTATAAGAATAAGTTTGTGCGCTTTCTCTTCAGAGGGAAGCGACTTTCACATTCCACGCTGCCCGCTGGCCAAGCGGGCGACACGTTGCAGGAGATGCGTAGTACCTGCGCCGAAGCCAGGATTTTTGAGACTAAATTAATAGTCTGGTGCATGCACGAGACGCTTTTATCGCAAGCGTGGGGCGTAGGGGCGCTCGATTGCCGTTGAAGTCACTATAGCAACGGGGGTAGCAGGGACAGAGGGGGTGCGGGAGTGGGGGGAAGCGCTGTGAGCGGAGCAGCAGTCTAAGTTAGCGTATATTAACCGGTCAATTCAGAGTACGAGTCGATAAATCTGGTCTATATTCGCGGATCTCACAAACAGGGTACCAATACTGTAGGGTAAATATTTATATGTAGTAGGGTAATAATACTCCAGATTATGTTATGAGAAGAATAGTGCGGCTAGTCTTCAAATCAGAGTCTGGCCGTCCTATTCGAGTGGGGATCTGCTTTATATTTATTTAGGCACCAGCAGTGTATGACACACTGCGCAGATCCAAACCAACTTTGCCTCGAGTCAGTCTTATAAATCTAATAGGTAGTGAGTACTTTTATCGGCCAGTGATATTCCGAGATCTAACAACGCGACACTGAAGGGGTTGAGTTAAAGAAAAGTATTTTATTGATTACAAAAATGAGGGTAAAAATATAACGAAAAGGGATTTCTGGTCACATTAAAAGCAGGAGTTGTACACATATCATTCAAATCATACATTTAACAGAGGAACAGTCTTACTTTGAAGGAGCGTAGAGGATGGAGAAAGGATTTGGGTTGGGGATCAGTCCACGTGGTTCCTTTGTCTGGGCAGGCGGGAGGTACAAAGCCAGCGAGTTGGTCCAGCTGCTGGTCCACGCGTATGCAGCTCAGTCCGGAATGGGCTGCACGCGTATAGTCCAGAGCCAAGGAAAGAGGCTGGTGATGAAATGGTTCGTAAGGTCCCGAGCCAGAGGAGAGTATGTTTGGCGGAGTAGAAGGCCCGATGCGTGCTGGCGCGACCGTAGTAGGAGACACGTGCCGCGGGACGCCGATGGCCAGGGAGGTTGCGATAGTGATTTCAGGAGAAGGCAAGAGAAAGAACAATGCTTTGCGGGTGCTTATATTGACTTCTGAAGGGGCGTGTCCATGTCTTCCCTCTCTGTGGACAAACTCCTTTACACAGACAGTTTGTAAAGAAACATACAGGATTGATGCAAATGATCATAAGACATGTACAAACACACAGTGTATTTACATCACAGACATTAAACACACGAGTAAGGTCCGTAACGTTAATATCATTGAGTAATGTCCCCTTTGAATGTTCGTCTTGGGTGCGGTAGCGTCCAGTGTCCGCTAGGGAGCGTCAGAGGGCCGCGGGTGGACCCCTTGGTCCGTGGAATGCATTGTGACAATGCTGATTTGTATCAGCTCCTCTGTTAACATGAAAAAGGCACCAGATGGGTATCCTGCTGTTTTTATGGGTCCGATTGGCGTCGGTAATCCTCATGATTGATGGCGGCTTGTGGCTGACCCCATGGCTCCTTTGAAGCTGTATCTCTCCATTTGGTCAATGGTAAACAGAGTGGACAGGCTTGGCCCTGTCCTAAGTGGAAAGAGTGTTTTTGCCATGGGGAGGGGGGGGGGAATGGGGGGGGGGAGGGGGGGGGGGGGGGGGGGGGGGAGGGAAAAAGATGGGGAGGGGGGGGGGGGGGGGGGGGGGGGGAAGGGGGGGGGGGGGGGGGGGGGGGGGGGGGGGGGGGGGGGGGGGGGGTAGGGGGAGGGGGGGGGGGGGGGGGGGTGATAGGGAAAGGGGGGGGGGGGGGGGGGGGGGGAGGGGGGGGGGGGGGGGGGGGGGGATTTAAGGGGGGGGGGGGGGGGGGGGGGGGGGGGGGGGGGGGGGGGGGGGGGGGGGGGGGGGTAGGGGGGGGGGGGGGGGGGGGGGGGGGGGGGGGGGGGGGGGGGGGGGGGGGGGGAGGGGGGGTTTAAATAAGATAAAGAGTGTATGAAAGAAAGATAAGGAATGGAATTTTATTAATAGTTTTATTAATAAAGGTAATTAAATAAGCTGATATGGATGTTAGTGGATGTTAATCGGTATGTGTTCTTGCTGTATCCCAGGGGAAGCACATGAAGGAAGGCGGTGTTGTAGGACCTGGAAAGGCCCTGGGAACAGCTGACGGCTCCCTTCGAGAGGAGCTAAAAACAGACTGCAGCTCATATATTGCACCTTTTGATCCACTGGTGTGTTATCACGTCCCTCTAAAATAATGAGAAAAGAATATTAAGTAGAATTCTTCCTTATTCATTACGTTTTTACTGATTGTAATGAAATCAAGTGCTTTGTCACTTATCTTGGGGTTTGTCCAAAATGCTTTGAAATTTGCCCTTTCATATTCAATACCTTCCTTAGATAGGACAGCGTCGAATAATGTCAATTTTCACGTTTATCATGTCTGCTTTCATCAGGTCCCAGAACACGGAAAATCTCCCTTAAGCAAGTATAGGCCATTTATGAGTTTATGGAAATCACATTACATGATACATATTTATACAATTCTATTTGTCTTACTGAAAAGGCACAATGTTTGCTGGTTTTTCTCTGACGTCTTGATTTCTTCATCCCGTGATGGTGCACACAATTTGCCCCATCATATTTATAATAAATGTTGCAAGGCCCTGTATCTATGACATCATTATCAGCCTTCTGACGGATTAGGGTCAATGTCCAGAACCTCCATAATCTGGCTAGACATTCGATTGGCTCTGGCTCCAGGGGTTGTAGTGTATGACAACATTAGTCTAATGACCAGACATCTAAATGTTATACACAACGACTTTTTGTGTTTTAGTTATCAGTGAATACCTCTCTAAATTCTTCCAGAAGCTTAAGCTTGTCCATATTCTGGCGGATACAACATTGAGCTCAGCTTCCCAGGATGTCCCAGAAATGCCTGTGGATGTTATCTTTAACTACTCAATAAGCTAAAAGACATAGTGTGGCACATTAGCAACTACTTTTGACAAGTGAATAAACATCAAAATCATTATTACCCTATCCTTTGGTGGGCTCTTGGCTTCAAAGTTGAAATTTTTGGATTCACAATAATTCTCATGTGCAAGACTCAAATTGAGAGGTCTCTTGCATCGAGAATCCTGACTCATCCAAGAGAGTATACTAAAAAAAAACCCGGCGGGCTGGCTTTAGAAGTACAAATGTAAAAAGGGTTTTCAGACAAACTATAATAAGATTAATAAGAAAAAGTTTTACTTAGAAATAAAAACAATGAGACTACAGATGGCGTGCTTTGTTTGCTGGAGTTATTCGCACCAAAGCTCCCAGAAGAGAAAACCAGGTCACTAGCAGACGTACACTGTTTGCTGTGCGCTCGGAAAAAGCCTCCAAATCGCTCTGACCACACCACCGAGGACGTGGACCTGGTTTTCAGCAAATAGAGGCAATAGTTTATTGTGCTTGAAATTACAAAGTAATAACTAATCAATGAGTTCTAAACACATCGCTCCTAACAACGTTTTGCATCAAAAAACAGTTAAAAATTTTAAATACTAATTGTTCAATTGCTAAAGAGACAAGGAGCATGCTCCAACTTTCTGACTTGACTAAATTAATTCAAACCTTCCCATTCGCCAACTATTTCCTCCGCCAGCAAATCATGTTGTTAGTTCCAAAGAGGAAAAATAGTGAATAAATGATAGGGCTATGGTCAAAACTGTGCAATATTATAAACATTCAATGAAACAGAAGTTATTGACCACCTATCTTTAAAAGTACTAGTGTTCAATATAATCCACATGGGTGATCCAAAGAGTGGAACAAATGCTGTTCATTTATCATTAAAAAAAATGCTAAAAATGATGACTACATAAACAACATCAGCTTCATGCTGTCGTTAAGATGAGGCATTTTTGTACCCTCACAGAAGCTCAAAGACTTTACAATACATCGTTTTAATTTCCCTGGAATTGTATGCCAAGACATCAGTAAGTATTAATAAGAATTCTTGACAATACAAGGGGGTAGTAGTCCCCCATCTAAGATCCACTGACTCCCGCCAGGCACCAGATGGGCGACTCAACTTCAGAAACTAATATCTGGGTTCATAAGACATCAGGAAGTGGCGCGAATAACAAACGAGGGACAGGACGTGGTGTATCAGAGGTGCAGTCAGCCGGGTTTATAGTAAAGAAGAAGCGCTGTCCCATGCCACCTGCATGAAATAATATGTATTGAAGTCTTTCAATCTGGATTCAGAGCTCATCAAAGCACTGAAACTGCACTAAGTCAAAGTCACAAATGACTTAACTACTAGCTGCTGATAATGGACAAGTGGTCAGTGCTGGTCCTACTGGACCTTTAGTGCTGCATTTGACACCATATACCCACAGCATTCTACTGCAGAGGCTAGAATGTGGATATAGTCTTAGAGGAACAGCCCATGGCTGGTTTAAATCCTATTTACAGATCGGTATCACTTCGTCAACGTAAATCAGACTCGACGCATTATTTTGGAGAAGAATTCGGTGAGCCGCAGTTCGGTATACTCGGTCCGATTCTATTCCACTTCTCACCATGGCTGCCGTAGAAACAATATTAGAAATCATGGGAATTAATTTCCTCTGCTATGCAGATGACACAACAGCTTTATCTGTCAAAGAAGCAAAATCAAGACAGATCACTAAAAAGCTCAGTAGCCTGCATATTGGATTAAGAACCAAGCCAACTAAAACGGCGTACTTTCACTTACGAACATCGCTAAAATTAGGAATTTCCTTCCTAAAAATGACGCGGGAAAAACTTATTCACGCGTTTTGTCACCTCAAGGCTCGACTACTGTAACGCTTTATTGGCAGCATGCCCTAAAACCTCTTTGAAGAGCTTCCAGCTCGTTCAGAATACAGCAGCTAGGATCTTAACAGGAACCAAAAGGAGGGAGCACATAACTCCGGTGTTAAAATCCCTCCACTGGCTTCCTGTGGAGTACAGAATAAAGTTTAAAATCCTTCTCTTAACATACAAAGCCATACAATGGGTTGGCTCCTTCCTATCTCCAAGACACGTTAGTGTCATAATCAACCAAGTCGAGCGTTGCACTCACAAAACGCCAGACGTCTGGTGGTTCCTAAGGTCTCAAAAATCACTGTTGGCGGCAGAGCATTTAGCTACCAAGCTCCTTTACTGTGGAATCAGCTTCCCATTTATGTTAAGGAAGCAGATACGGTCTCCACATTCAAGGCCAGGCTTAAAGCACTCTACTTTAATTTAGCATATAATTAGGTAATATATAATATATGGTGTATATATTATATATATATGCTGGATTATGTTATATATTATACAATATATGTGTTATGTTGTGTATTGTGTTATGTTGTATATTATGTTATATATTATGCTGTATGCTATGTTATGTATTATATATGATATATATGGTATGTATGGTATATATGATATATAATATATAATTAGGTTTTCCTGGATCCGTTGGCACACCTTGGTGTGCAATCCATGAATCTTGGTGCTGTAACCTAGACTAGCCTAGCCGTGGCTGCTGCTGCTGTCTCACCTCCTTTCAGATACGCTCTCTTTATTCAAGGCCAGGTTTAAAACAGTCCTCTTTAGTTTAGCATATGGCTAGGAAGGTAAGACTCAGGGAAGGCTAAACTCCTCAGACTGTCAGTCAAGCTGCATAGGGAGTCAGTTTGCTGGGAGAAGTATGGTACTCCTCCTTCCTACTGTATCTGTTTAGCATTATAAGGATTTTGACTGTAGTTTGTTCATTGCTATTCACCCGTTCTCCCATTGTCTGTTTCATGGTACGATGACGGGATCTCTGAGCCTGACCTCCTCCATCTACACCTGCGGACTGCCCCGCCCGACCCGCCTGGGAGTGCTTCAGTCCTGCACCGGACCTGTCCACGTTCAGCGGCCACTGGTCCACGTTCTGTAGCTAGCTTAGGTCCTGGATCATTAGCCTGTCCGTCCGGAGGAGCGGATCCCTTTCTCAAATGGGTCTCCCTCCCTGTGGGTTTCCCCAGTTCTCCCCAAGGTTTCTCACTTTTTCCCACTGGGTTTTTTAAGAGTTTTTCCTTGTCGATGCAGGAGGGTCTTGTTGGACAGTTAGTGTCCAACAGAAAGGATTGGTGATGATCAGGGCACTTTAGCATTCTACAACATGTATGGACATTTTCTTCTGTGTGTGCTTTATATTCTTCATGTGTTTTAACTGTTGATCTGACCTGTGTTGGTGATTTCAATGGTTTTGTTAAGTCCTCTGAGATGACTTCTGTTGTGACCTAGGGCTATACAAGAATAAATTGTATTGTATTGTATTGTAAATCTGTTTAATTCAAGCAGGTCTGTCATGGTTTAGGTTTATTTCCTGTTTTTTTATGTATTTCTATAACCCCTGTGTAGTTCCACTTCCTCAAATGTAATTTGAGGGAAGAAATTCAAAAAACTACGTTGGAGGGGTAAGGGGCGTGATTCTGATATTAGTGTGGAGGAAGCAAAAACCAGCTCCAGGTCAGAAGATTAATCAAAAATGAGAAACAATCTGTGCGTTTACAAAGCATAAGAGAACATTCAAAAACGGGATTATCCGCTGAATAAAGGAGGCTTTAATTTTAAATAACATGGTATCATTATAAGGAAACACTCAACAAAAGTAACCAAACAACATAATGTTTAGTTTGGGGATTTTATTCTCACACAGGTTTTAGCGGCTGAAGCCTAAATAATTTAACAACCCTTTTAAAAACACCATAAAGTATTGCTTCTACTTTGCGTAGCAAAAAAACAAAAAACATGACGTGAGTCACCTCTATCTGTCCAAATACATACAATTGTTATTGAACATTTCACACAAGGCACAAATCATCACATAAAAAAAACACCAGAATTATCATTTAAAACACAATTAAAATCACACAAGTAATTAAAAACATTAAAACGTTAAAGTCACAAAAGG